ATAAGCGAGAACTGCCTCTTTGGTCGTCACTGTCCGCAAGTACTGGACTGTAATCGCTCGATATTCGTCAAAAGTCGCATAATCTACGAACAGTGCAAAGCGGTCATTATCGGCAATGAGATCCATCACATTGTTATTCTTTTCAGACACCAGCTTCTTAAGCACATCGATTGCTTTCCTTTCCGTGATGAAAAGAGCGGCCCGATGTAGATACTTATATAAATAGCTATTCAGATCATCCATCGTTTTCACGACATCGTCCACAAGAGAAGCGCCGCCTTTATCGTTAAGCTTGATCAACAGTTTTGTGATGGCGAATTTTGCCTCTTTATCCGTACCGAGAGTGTTGATATAATATACCAATCCCATGTCCTTCCAGATTTTTTGGGCCTCACTGACCTCAATCAATTGATCAAGGTAAATGTCTTCGTACGTGGAGCCTAGAACTTGTAATTCCTTGTTTTCGGATTTAACAGCAGACGCTATGATGTCAGGCATCCTGCTTCTTCCGTCTAATAATGGAAGAAGAGTTCCCATAGATGCAAAGACCAGTTTGTCAGTCTTGACTTGATTGTCATCTAAGACTTTCTTGTCAGTCATACTCTGCTTGACGGCTAAGACAAGCTCTTTGATCGAGTTCTTGTTTGTAGCCACGATTTGTTTGTCATCCAGAACCGGAACATCAACCAATGGCTTCAATTTCTGGATTTTAACAAGCAACCGTTTGAAAATCATGACAATGTTCTCCATTGTGCTTGGCTTCTTCACCAAGACTTGCGTGTGAGCCACGATATCCTCCATTGCCGTAACCAGCCACTCAACCAGCAATTCCTGGTTCGTAGTGGACTCAGCTAATGTTCTTTCAAAGCCCGAGATTATCTTCTCAATCAAGCCGGGGTCGATTTCTAACAGCATCTCGTCAGCCAATCTTAACTTCATAGCCTTATCTAATTCTTTAATCAAATCCATTTTGCTTTTCGAGGCATTTCGATCCATGACAGTTCTTATCGTGTCGGCTAGTCTTTCAATCGTTTTTTTCTTATCAACCAACATCTTTCTGTTTTTATTGAAGACATCGATATTCGAGACTAGTTGAGCAAACTTGTCATCCACTGTCTGGCCGTCAACCAAGGTCGGCTGGTGAAGCTCATGTTTGTGCTCAAATAGGGTCATGAGTTTAGAGCGCCAATCATGAAACGCCTTGGTGCTCAAAAAATCTTTTGCTTGTTTTATATCGGGAATGTCTTTGAGCAGTGCGCAAGCCAGATCAAGATTCTTCTTCTCAACCATTTCGTCAAGGCGAAGGTTCGTCATTTCGGTAATGGCAAAACTATTCTGTTGGTTATTCGAATAGTGCTCAAGCTTAATAGCTTTAAATGATTCGAGCCACCTTGCACTGGATTCCCCTACTCGCGTCCTTGAAGCAGCTTGGCTCGAAAGCTCGATCTCCATCCCAGTTCTTGACAAGGTCTTGACACTCCCATCGAGGTGTAGAACTGCTGATTTCAAGTCCCTTCTTAAATGTCCATTTTCATGATAATCAATAGGATTGGACGTTGTCGCCATCACCCATAAAAGCTCAGGGTAGCAAAGAATAGCGACAGTTGATAATTTGACAACAGCTTGGACACGCATGAAGAAGAGAAAGAGTATGATAAGTGCGCTGAGTAGAGAAGATGTCAGTATGAGCATATCGAATGATTGGACACGAATGTACCTCGTGTGCTATTTTTTGTCCTTAAGTGTAGAGATGGGCAAAGATCGCAAAAAAAATCAGCTTGGGTACTTGATGTATCCATCTCTTATGGTACAGAAAAGCCAAATTTTGACCAGATTAGAAATGACTCAAATCTAGTTGGCACAATATTTGTGTGATCACTGCCACAAAAAATACATGGTCGTCATTTGCAAGAATTATTTTATGCTCTGCATCATAAGCTTGGAGTGAGTAGGATCAAGTCTGTGAGGTACTTTCTTACTGTGAGCAGGACGATCATGATATTATTCCATCGTATTTTGTCTATTATACACTATTGGCTGACGGATACTGGAATCTGTTGTTGGAATAATGGAAAAGATAGATTGATAGATTGGTAACCTTATAAAATATTAAATTCATTTCCTTTTTTGTCAAATAGTAGAACCTCATCCAACAAATGTCGGACTTTAACTGTTGTCCTCGTACGCATTACACTTCGACATTACAATTATACTTTGGTATCAACATGGATGGAACTTTGCTACGTGGAGCATGTGGACTGTAAGTTTCGGTACTCTTCATTATTGAACGTCGTGATACATCTTGGTGATTGCAAAGCAAGTACTGTAATTATGTGTACTTTACACATTTGATACGGTACGATTAAATGTAATTGTGATATTCATAAGTACCGGAATATTGATATTTATAAAGATGAGGACGTAGCCACGTCGGCGCTTTTGTTGTGAGATTTTGTCAACATATATATGACATTAGCTCGACAGAAAAATCGGAAAAATGCAACGTTAGTAGCAAAGCGAATTGACAGCGTGAATCATGTTAGAGGCTCTCAGTCTCGCTTCTGGTGGAAGCGCACGAATCCATCATCAGTGTTTTTGATGACGCCGATAATGAGAGTAAAAGCCTCCTTCGTGCTCAGTGCACGGCGACCTTGTTGCACTCGGTAGCACTCGCTAGTCGATCCGACGACCGAGGATGGAATATGATATGTTCGAATTCTGTCCGCATGATTGAAATACCTGCGCAATAAGCTTTCAACATTCACGGAGGGCTCATGGCCAAAACGTTTAGCTCGCCTCGAGGCAAGATCTCGAGGTTATAAGCTGTCACATGCTGTCCGCGACGTGCTTGGGTTTTGCAAAGTCAAGCTTTAATCAACACTTTAGGCGGACGTCCACTTCGCTGAAACTGGCTTTCAAAGCTTTGAGACGCGAGGTTGCAACAGCAAGTCGCGCTTGAAGAACATCTTATAGCTGTCTCTAATCGTTCCGCCATCGATCCCGTATACGTACCCAGATATGAAAGGGTGTGTCACACAAGATGGTGTGACCTTACAAAGCTGTGGATTACACAAGTCGGTGTAAACACATACGGTGGGACTGCACCGTAGCATGAAGTCATTACGTGGCAGGACTGCCAGTAGTTATCCAGATCAATTAGATTTTTTTCTATTCAATCGGAAAAGCCTAATCTTTTAGAAATAGGCGGCTCTACCGCAAACAAAACAAATAAATAAAGTTGCAAATTTAGATAAAAGAGTACATTTGCCTTGGATAAAGGTTTTGGGAACTTTAGAGATAGCGGATTGCGATCCGCTACACTCGTACTGGTTCTATTTTTACATTGACGGTCGGTGACTTTAAGTAAGCTTTCTTCTAAGCAAAGAGCTACAGCAGCTCCGCTGCATCCCGACATACAGTTCCCCTTTCCGTCGCAACACGGATACACTGTGGAGACCGCCACATACACTTACCCCAGTTTTGTCTAATCCTAAGACCGCGGCTCACCGCCGGTTTTGCCTTCTAGCCCCTTACCATCACAATCAATTTTAGACAGTTCCAATGCCTAAAAAAGAAATATTGCAGCTTCATGCTTGCGCCAAAGACGCTTTTACTTCCGGCAGAGACAGATTTTCAACTCAATAACTCACCGCCTATTTGGGGGCGTAGCGCATGATTTTTCGAATTCCAGTCGATTCATAATTTGTGGCATTTCAGTCACGCCATATCGACGATGAGGTTGTATCTTAATTACAGGACCAGGACGACACACATTCCGCACTATCAGAATTTTCAAGCTCTACTTTAAAGTTAAATAAAGCCTTCGAGGTACTCTTCTCGCAAAACGCCAATTATTGTATTCGGATTCAGCATCTTTGAAGTCTAGCATATTGTCAACTAATTTGAAAACCGCGCGACATACACAACTGCACGACGCCCCCTCGATTTATCAGACATTCCACGGCTTTACAAAGCTAAGATGTAACAGCGATCAACAAAATGCGAAATCCATCTATAGATGCTCTACGTTAAAGCTTGATCTCATTGGCATCGACATCAACGACGTACAACAAAACAAAGCTGCAAAGCGGCATAGTAAGACTCGACGTTTTCTTATGGAAGTAACAAGTTTTTTGGACGCCCTTGCATAAATTTCTGACTTTACATATCGATTAGCTAATAGGCAAGCCGACAGGCTTAAATATGGAACATTCGGGATTACCGTGGAATCGCTTAGCGACTAAGAGATTTATCTTTTCTTCGCAGCATGGCGAAAAACAGTCGCCTTTAGCGTGTTCGGCGGATAGTGAATACAGTATCCCATTGGAGCCTTGATTTTGACGTCGACCGTATCTTTAGACGAGATAGGGTGGGCTCGGAAAATCCAATTGCGAGTTGCTCATGTACGGAGACAATCTTGGAGGATGGTAATTTTATCGCATCCGGAGAAGGCCACACGCCATTGTGACGATATAGTTCTCCAAACCCATGGACATAGTACGTTAGCTCTAGCCTTTCTAGACGGATTGAAATGAACCCTTTCAACCCGTTTGGGTGATGCGAAATATTGCAATAGCGTTTGCGTCAAGTTTTATATATTAGAAGTGTCCATTCTACCGAGGCACTGCGCGTTAGTGCGATTCTCGTACGCAGCCTTCTCACTTGATGACCGCAAGCACATTGCGCATTTTCCTCTGCGGAGTGTGACAGCATTTTTGGCTGATTCGCCTCTCTTCGTCCAGAGGGAGAGATGTTTTCTATCCTGGTTTTTAAGGCCTAGATGCTAACCACCAGCGGCATCGTACCGATTGACATACGTACTGGCGCATTCTTAAATCTAGTGAGCGGGCGATTAGAAACCTTTGGCTGCCGATGTCCAGATCCCATCTGGAATCAGTATAGACAAAAGCCTTTTAAGCTGGTTTAGTTGTCCTTCCGCGAATCCGTCGGGAGATTGACTACAAGTGCCAACAAGTTTAACGGGCTGCGTGCACTTTGTACACTAAAAACGTCGAGTTGACGAGTCTGTGTTAACAAACGCACGGATGTTGGGTTAGTAAACTCCAATCAGAAGTAAAATCCAGAGCTTCTAAGCGAAACTTTACATCTATTCTACTCTGCTAATTGAAGAGCACAACTCAAATACATTCTTAAGATCCAAAATTTAGTATATGCGTATCACTAATCGTCGTAATGATAATACGGCTAGCAGCTCATGTGTTTGAATTGCCTTCCCTCTATGGAATCCAATTACCTGATACTTCGAAGCTCATAATTATTCAGAGGTGTTCGAAATGCCATGTGAATGTGCGCATATTTTGTACAAAGTGTGATGCATACAAGGTTACAATACTGACAAAATTCATTCATTGACCTTAGTTTGCATCCCTACCAAAAAACTAGACTTGAAGCACCCAATTTTTAATTAAAAATTTCGACTAGGGCGATAAATTGAAAATTATACCAAACCAAGGGTACCACCCCTTCTTGAAACAGATAACGCACAAGATGGCTCAATAGTAGAGCACGAATGAGACTGTTGTGCATCCAAATCGGCCGCTTCAATTGCGTGAAGCCTTCACTTTTATGAGTAGCAGTATCTTAGTCACACTATCTCGGTCTGAAAAGTCAGAAAGATAACATTAGAAATGACAACGCGGAAAGACCTGATCTAGTATAATGAGAATCATAGGTTTACATTCGCAAAATCAGCTTTTGCAACACTTTGCTTTTTTTCATGATAATCTATACTGAGATTCTGCAACAACTTATTTTGTGTAGTCGCAATGAGTTGCGAACCAAAAGCGTAAATGATAAACTTTTCTTGGCTAATGTAAATGACAATCACAAGCTTCAATCAAAGGTCATAACGTCCAGCATATCTTGCTGATGATGGATCCTATGGTCACAACATAGAGACTTCTCAGCGCTATGTCAAGAAAGCGTACCTCTAGATTATGCGAATTTTTGAGTCAGATACATTTAAGCGACTGGCAAATATTTTTTTACTTTACCAAATTCCTTACATCATTGATACAGTAAAATATGTCTACATTAAACATGTTGGGACTGGGGGACAGTGTTTAATTTAGAGAGGGTTTTAAATAAGGGAGGGTAGCATAATTATCAAAAATCTCCTCACCCAGGCTGGGTATATTTAAACAACACCATTCCCAAAGAGCCCTACAAGTGTTTTTCTTGACTAAAACATCGAAACAGTTGAACTGTAACAAATACATTGCCCAGCAATGGGTCCACGTGGAGCTAAGCACACAACCATGTCAGACAAGATACGTATTGCACTGTGTCAACACAAGGAGAAGATTCCAAAGCTGACACACAAGGAGCTTATGAAGTGGTTAGAAGAAAACCGTCAGATTACTGTCGGTGGAGGTACAATCACCAACACACTCAAGCG